CAACACCAATTAGGCAGAATTTACTATACTCCGATTTCATGCAATTTTTATTATACGTGTCTTGATAAAGAAGTTCATTAACACTCGGACGACTCGGGTCCATTTGCAGATTTAATGAAAGAATGTAACGACAGTGTATTATCCTATGTGTAGGATTATATTCTGATACAATCTAAAGCATAAATATGCTTATTGTAGTGTTTGACAATTGATTCAAATTTTCATATGTGTCATTACGGTTTATAGGAAAGCTAACGTGTCTAGACGGAGTACCTTAAAAAATACGTTGGACACAAGTAATAAGCAAAATAATAAATGACCGTAATCATGCTCGGTTATATTTTTGTCAAAAAAGTTAGATGTTCGAATGTTAAAACATTTCTCATGAAATCATTTTTATGGTTTCAATAATCATAAAAGGAAAAGTTAATAACAACTTTCATTCGTTCGATGGTCACAATGTTAAATTAACCAGGAAGCAGAAAGATAACTAACTTCTGTTTTAAAAATTATAACACACGACTTTATTGTTAAATGAACTAACAAACAATAAATATAACTAAATTGTATTTTAGAAATTACGACTTTATTGTTAAATGATCTAATAAACGATGAAAATAACTAACTTCTTTCTTAAAAATTATAACACGCGACTTTATTGCTGAATAAACTAGCAAACATTAAAAATAACAAATTTTTACTTGAAAATTTACAGCACACGACTTTATAATATTTCGTGTGATTTCTGATGCGTGTTAATGAATTGATATTGATTTAATCTTCTTGGAATTGAACGTACTAATTTCGACTTTAGCATATCAGAACTTGAATCTTACGGCTGTGTCGGCTGCTTCGTTCGCACAAAGAAGTGTCGACAGTGGACAATCTCATTGATTTCTAAAACAGTACGCATTCGACCAGCAAGTTCACGCGAACGTTAGCTTGCAGCATTGCTAAATTTATTACCTCTGCACTTTCAGCGAGATTTCCCGCGTCTCATCACTTCTTCGTTTGCTATTTATCTTTCTCATTTTTCACTGTTCTCGTTTTCTCTCCCCGGAATTCTCACACAAACTTTTGCGAACGATCCGTCATCGGTCTTGAACGCTTCACGCTGTTCTATACATATGGATACACATGCACGCGCACGATACTCTTGCTATGTATTTATTGGTCTATAAGCTGAGCGAAACGAATCTGCTTCGATCATGCGCACCTCGCGCTGAATTTTTACGCAGAGAACAGATGTTTTGTTTTATTCAGCAATTTCTATCGGAGATTGAATGGATTATATGGAACTTTTAAGGGAACTTTCAAGTTCTCTTTAAGACGTGGAACTTCTTTCGGAGGTGTTCTCACATTTTAACTTTTGGAGGGATCGGATAAAGAGAAGTTCTCGAAAGTAAAGGTTTTAGCTCGGATAAGAACCTGTATTAGAAGATGCAGAAATAAAAATTTGTCCATGGCAAGAACAGATATTTTGTTCATTAATATTAAAAAAGCTTTTGTTCATGGAAGTTGTACTATTATTAATCCGTTAACCGGGCATGAGAAAATATTACGTCATACCACGAAGACAACTCTAACGAGCACGACGATCTTTATCATCATGAGGAATTTTAAAAGTAATATGTGAAGGCCGTTACATTTTACGTCGTTCTCGCCAATTAAAACCTTGAAAACCCATAGAAACCTAGCGTGACCGTATAGTACCACTTCGAGTTTGCACATCACTTCAATGTTTCTTATATGTTGTAGATTTTCGTTACATAGTTTTCATTAATATATTCTGGCACCCAGAGTTTACTACGTATAAAAAACGTCGGAATGGTGTTTGAAACTGAACTGAACAAATTCGAAGTGTTACGATATGGTCCCGCTAGATTTCCATGGGTAACAAATAATTTGACAAAATATTAGATGAATATATAAATGTATAAATCAAATATTTCCAATGTACAAAGACTTAAAACAAAGTGAAATCATTATTTTGTTATATTTTGTAAAAATGTCATGTATAATGTATATAAATATATACAATAGTAATAATATAATATAAATAATATATAATATATATTGTGTATATATATATATATATATATATATATATATATATATATATATATATATATATATTGTAATAATTATTTTATTTTGTATTAATTCTTTGTACATTGGAAATATTTCATTCATATATGTTCTAAATCTATCACAAAATATTTTGTCAAAATGAATAATTAACGAGTGAAAAACAATTATATTTTATCACTTTAGAAAATTGCGAGTCAATTCAATATCTAATGCAAAGTTCACTATCAAACGGTGCCATATAATTGTTGCTCACGTAAACTAAGATCTGAATCTAGAAACAGCATAATTGAGAACATAAAGAGTTTAAAGATGTCCGATACTGTCACGTAAATCGATTACTCGAGTCCAGCAGAAGAACGTACAAATAAATGTATCGACTACTTAATTAATCTGCGTAGCTACTGTAAAGCCCCTTGAAAAAAGGGGGAAAGAAAATGGGAGCCGCGAGTAATTAAAACAAATGATACTTTACAGGGTTTGCTGCGATGCGTCTTCCTTGGCACGGCCGCCGGCAGCGCCAATGCTATCAGCACGATAATCCACAGCCACCTCATAATTCCCGATTACGACCTGCAACACGCCAACGAACATGTTATTCCATAAAGAACGCCATAAGAAAATTTAAGTTTGAGAGAGCCGTGAAATCTTCGTCTAATCAAACATCACCTTCGAATGTGATATATCTATGTACAGTGACTCGCATTAATATTCGGACACGATATTATTAAAAAAATTATTGCTCCTTTTTATTGTTTATGATAGTATTAGTGAATCAATTGTTTTCTCATATAATAAAGCACTTCTTAAAGTAAGTATAAACATAAATTTTGTTTATTTATTGCACATGTTATAGCTTGGGTTTGTTACAGATGATTTTATTTAAATACTCCGACAAAATCCGTTTCCATTGGTCTAACAAACGTTGCTTTAACGTTGTTGTCCTTGTAGGGGTTGTATCAATTTTGCAGTTTAATTGATCCCATGAATTTTCAATCGAATTTAAATCAGGCAATAGAGGAGGAGAATGCACAGTACTTTTGGACAATTGTATGATAAATATTCCTGTACAATTCTGGCCTTGTGTTTACGATCATTGTCCTGATGAAACTTAAAACTGTTACGTATACCCATATTTATGGCACTTGTAATTAAATATTTTTTTAAATGTCTAAATACTTCATTTTGTCCATAACACCATCGATAAAAACTAGATCACCTACACCTACAGACGAGATACAACCCCACACTATTCCACTCCCATCACCGTGTTTTACTGTCGGTCTTAAATTTGAAATGTTTAATTCTGTATTTATTATACTTTACGCCACATCATTATTCGACTGTCGAATCCGTAAAGATTATATTTGCTTTCATCCGAAAATATTCCATCATTCCACCACCAGTTGTCTTTATAAAAATATTAATTCCTTTGTTAATTTTGTAGCACTTTGTCCAGAATTTTTCTTATTATCTTGCGTTGATCGCGAGAGTCTAATAATTTTGGACGACCTTTCTGAGGGATTAAATCAATTTAATCCTCACGAATGTACCGACGTGTAATATCTGCCACACTACTCGTGCTTATATTTGATAATTTGACTATAACTCTGTATGATTTTCCCTTTTCCTTGTGATAAATAACCAATTGTCGAATTTCAAAAGACGTATTTTTTCCTTTTCGTCCCATTTTCACAAGTAAAGCGTCTGATATTACCAATAATTTCTGTGGTACCGAATTCTCGCAACGAATTTTTATTTGTTTATAAAATTTGTTCATAAACAAGGGGTTGCAAGGGGTTTTATTGATAGGGTTGTAATTTGCAAGGGGTTGTATTTGATTTTTGAAAAAAAGGTGAATATGACCAGTAAAAGGATGATTTAATTTTAAAAAATGTTGAATATAACCTGCAAAAGGAAGGATTTCATTTTCTTAGAATTGGGTACACAAAAGGATGATCTTTAAGTGCATAAACTGTAAAAAAGAGATTTATTCTATGATGAACTACAAAATTTACAATCTACAAAAGAAGAGAACATCTAAAGCCTCCCAGATTAGTACCGATAACAGAGGTCTCGCTGTAACCCAAACTCTTTCAAACTCTTCAACGTTCCACATTTCATACCCTAATCTCTGTCACAAACGCATAAACCCTGCAATCCCTGCACAATCCACTAAAACCGCCCTCGTATTTGTATTTTTCTTTTAAAAAGAATTAGTTCCTCTTTGTAACAACTCTTGCCGCAGGAACGCGGCCCGCCAGAAATGTCGCGTCGTTTAAATATGGTAACCCGACGTTCGTCACTGGTCGAAACACAAATACAACAACGGGAAAAAAAGCGAGCAGCGAAAAAAAAGAAACGCAGGAATAACTCGATCAGAACGACTTCGCGAGCGAAACAATCCCATTCGTTTAACTGATCGACGAGCNTATATATATATATATATATATATATATATATATATATATATATATATATATATTGTAATAATTATTTTATTTTGTATTAATTCTTTGTACATTGGAAATATTTCATTCATATATGTTCTAAATCTATCACAAAATATTTTGTCAAAATGAATAATTAACGAGTGAAAAACAATTATATTTTATCACTTTAGAAAATTGCGAGTCAATTCAATATCTAATGCAAAGTTCACTATCAAACGGTGCCATATAATTGTTGCTCACGTAAACTAAGATCTGAATCTAGAAACAGCATAATTGAGAACATAAAGAGTTTAAAGATGTCCGATACTGTCACGTAAATCGATTACTCGAGTCCAGCAGAAGAACGTACAAATAAATGTATCGACTACTTAATTAATCTGCGTAGCTACTGTAAAGCCCCTTGAAAAAAGGGGGAAAGAAAATGGGAGCCGCGAGTAATTAAAACAAATGATACTTTACAGGGTTTGCTGCGATGCGTCTTCCTTGGCACGGCCGCCGGCAGCGCCAATGCTATCAGCACGATAATCCACAGCCACCTCATAATTCCCGATTACGACCTGCAACACGCCAACGAACATGTTATTCCATAAAGAACGCCATAAGAAAATTTAAGTTTGAGAGAGCCGTGAAATCTTCGTCTAATCAAACATCACCTTCGAATGTGATATATCTATGTACAGTGACTCGCATTAATATTCGGACACGATATTATTAAAAAAATTATTGCTCCTTTTTATTGTTTATGATAGTATTAGTGAATCAATTGTTTTCTCATATAATAAAGCACTTCTTAAAGTAAGTATAAACATAAATTTTGTTTATTTATTGCACATGTTATAGCTTGGGTTTGTTACAGATGATTTTATTTAAATACTCCGACAAAATCCGTTTCCATTGGTCTAACAAACGTTGCTTTAACGTTGTTGTCCTTGTAGGGGTTGTATCAATTTTGCAGTTTAATTGATCCCATGAATTTTCAATCGAATTTAAATCAGGCAATAGAGGAGGAGAATGCACAGTACTTTTGGACAATTGTATGATAAATATTCCTGTACAATTCTGGCCTTGTGTTTACGATCATTGTCCTGATGAAACTTAAAACTGTTACGTATACCCATATTTATGGCACTTGTAATTAAATATTTTTTTAAATGTCTAAATACTTCATTTTGTCCATAACACCATCGATAAAAACTAGATCACCTACACCTACAGACGAGATACAACCCCACACTATTCCACTCCCATCACCGTGTTTTACTGTCGGTCTTAAATTTGAAATGTTTAATTCTGTATTTATTATACTTTACGCCACATCATTATTCGACTGTCGAATCCGTAAAGATTATATTTGCTTTCATCCGAAAATATTCCATCATTCCACCACCAGTTGTCTTTATAAAAATATTAATTCCTTTGTTAATTTTGTAGCACTTTGTCCAGAATTTTTCTTATTATCTTGCGTTGATCGCGAGAGTCTAATAATTTTGGACGACCTTTCTGAGGGATTAAATCAATTTAATCCTCACGAATGTACCGACGTGTAATATCTGCCACACTACTCGTGCTTATATTTGATAATTTGACTATAACTCTGTATGATTTTCCCTTTTCCTTGTGATAAATAACCAATTGTCGAATTTCAAAAGACGTATTTTTTCCTTTTCGTCCCATTTTCACAAGTAAAGCGTCTGATATTACCAATAATTTCTGTGGTACCGAATTCTCGCAACGAATTTTTATTTGTTTATAAAATTTGTTCATAAACAAGGGGTTGCAAGGGGTTTTATTGATAGGGTTGTAATTTGCAAGGGGTTGTATTTGATTTTTGAAAAAAAGGTGAATATGACCAGTAAAAGGATGATTTAATTTTAAAAAATGTTGAATATAACCTGCAAAAGGAAGGATTTCATTTTCTTAGAATTGGGTACACAAAAGGATGATCTTTAAGTGCATAAACTGTAAAAAAGAGATTTATTCTATGATGAACTACAAAATTTACAATCTACAAAAGAAGAGAACATCTAAAGCCTCCCAGATTAGTACCGATAACAGAGGTCTCGCTGTAACCCAAACTCTTTCAAACTCTTCAACGTTCCACATTTCATACCCTAATCTCTGTCACAAACGCATAAACCCTGCAATCCCTGCACAATCCACTAAAACCGCCCTCGTATTTGTATTTTTCTTTTAAAAAGAATTAGTTCCTCTTTGTAACAACTCTTGCCGCAGGAACGCGGCCCGCCAGAAATGTCGCGTCGTTTAAATATGGTAACCCGACGTTCGTCACTGGTCGAAACACAAATACAACAACGGGAAAAAAAGCGAGCAGCGAAAAAAAAGAAACGCAGGAATAACTCGATCAGAACGACTTCGCGAGCGAAACAATCCCATTCGTTTAACTGATCGACGAGCGTCAAATGAATCGCAATCACGCGCCGCAAAAGCTCAATTTGTTCCGTTATTATTTAACAGGAAAAACGTGGGCGTCCTCATTTCGACGAGCAAATCCGGTCGAGACATTTCGAGCCCGATTTAAATTCAAAACACAGAGCGAGCGATCGGTGTTTCGACGCGGCGCGACGCGACGGCACCGTGTCCCGAACGATATTTCCCGTGTCCAACAAGATGCGAGATTCTCGCGAGAACGAGAGAGATAGCAGGGAGTTTCACGTTTCGGCCCGTGATGTCGAGCCCCGGGAAAATTTTTTATCCACGGTGAAATCGGTGTACCGAGAGTCCATTTGGAGCTTTTGTTATCGGCCGGGTCAACGCGCAGAGTCTACAGTATCTGGCTCTGGCGACTACCCCTAAAATGTTTGCGTATGGGCCTGCGGGGGATCCATGACCTCATAAACAAGATCTCCAGGTTTTTTTAAAAAGGGAACGGAATGCCAAGAAGGAATCTGTTCGCTTTAGCATTAACACTGCAGTTACTTGTTTTAGGCCAACTTGTCGAACGATTTTTCCAGTCCCATCGTTTCTACGGTAGTTTGTGCAATGTTCGGAGCTGGATAAAATGATATTTTAAATGGCAAATAGCGAACAGATGTTTCATTTTAGATCATGCATGTATTTTTGCAAATTAAATATCTTATTTGCTCGAAAGAATTTACTTTTAAAAATAAAATACTTTAGTCGTCGTAGAAACTGTTAAAGATAATATTTGAAATAGTATTTTATATTTACAGTAAAGATATGTGTGTCATAGTTCGGGATATTTTATTTATTCAAATCATTATCATAAAATATTCTTATTTTACTAAATCGTAGTGTAAAATATAATTATTCTGGTAATCTGAAACGAACGAAGCACTTTTCCTCTGCATTATAAACATATATTCAATATAGTTCTTCAATGAATACTACTGAAAACAATACATTTCATTTGCAAAAGTTATCATTTCTTACACTGTCTCGTTTTACGTTGTGTTAATTATTTTCACAATTTATTTTCAGATTCAGAT